AAATGCCTTGCAAAATCTCTCTGCTTCTGCTTCACCCACCTAAACAAATGAGCACCAAATAGTTAGATTTCCTTCCATTGTACTTCCAGCCAAAATTGTATTAGGACAACAACATATAACTATTCTTCAGTAGTTTTATTTAATTTATCTCATCCTTTTGTAATAAGAAAGAAAGTTGAAAGGGAGTGTATCAAAAATTGGATGGGAGAGGGTGCTGTGGTTACAAATTTTGAGTATTCGTAGAGCAAAATTGTCATCTAGACATGGCTAGGAAACTTGCAGGGGGTTGCAATGTTGGTGGTTATACAGGTTCATGATGGTGGTGCTGGGCCTTGGGTGTGCACCAGCTGGCTGAGTAGTAGATGGGTACATATCATATGTTGTAGCTACTAGTTCATGTGGGTATTACAGTTTCTGAGAAGAACAAAAAATAAAATAAAAATAAAAATTGGTGTCAAAAATCAGCGACATTCGGTGGAGGTGTCACCAAAATTTCTACCAGATGTCACAGATACATTCATGACTATCCAACTCTGAAATGAAAACATCATAGAAACGTCGTTGAAATGCAGGAGTTTTAGCTGCATTGTGGGAAAAAAACTAACTTCCCTTATTGAGTATCGGAATAACACCCAAAGAACTGATATATTGATAATGCCACCTTGCCGGTCATTTTGGAACTTTCTTTCTTACTGGGTCTACATTCCACTGACCGGTGAGGGTTGAATGGGAGAACCAGTCAACCTTGGCAAAATGTAGGCCAACCAACTAGCACAGAAACAACTCCGAACTCAAGGAGCACAGCCAGAAGGGTTAACTAATATGAGTTTTGGTTCAAAACCAAAATTCTTGCTTATGTGCCCAGGGCAGCTAACAATATAAGTTGTATCCTAAAGTCCTCCTCAACACTGTGTGCTACATCCAAGCATTTCACAACTCCAATCAACACTGCGTGCTTAGCTCTCAACTCCTTTTGTATTATGAGTTGAGCCACACAATTATATCATGATTTGAGCAACTCAACTTGATGTCAAACCGGCAACTCTTAATCCCATTACATTTACCTCGGCGTTGTGTGGGAGGAGAAATTTATAGAGGTTAGCAATGCAAATGCTAGTGTTTAGCACTGGAAGCATAAAATGTTGTAGTGTATAAGAGCATAGTTCAACTAAAGTCTTGAATGTATGACATCAGTCAATTGTCATGCTCTTTAGTTTCACCTTTGTTTAAGGCGAAGGTTTGATGTTTGTATGACTTAATGCTCTTTTTAAGCCAGACTGGGTTCAGACTTTTAGAATAAAAAGCAAACAAAAGAAAAGAAAGACCTTATATCCAGAAGTAAGGTCAATGAAAATAATGAGCAAAAGGTACAAACCACATTTGGTCAGTGCAAGTAAGTGCAATCTTGAAACTACAAAAATTCACCCGAGACTTGTTTTATTATGAACATACAGGAAAAAAAAGGGTTGTATCGATTCCCTTTTTGTTTCTTATGTGTTTATTTTAACTGCAGAAGTGTCTTTCACTTTATTTAAAAACTTACACAAAAGGGAAAAGAACACAACTTAGTATTGCTCAACATTAAAACATTCAACAAAATAGACCCGTTTTTCCGCGCCTAGATATTGAGAACAATTATTATTAATTTTTATCAAGGATTGGACTCAGAATGAAACAAAGGGTTAAAATGGAACAATTATATTTTTCATAGTTATGTTTTATCTAACATCATTATATGCAAACAAAAATCACTACAACATAAACACATGCATTGTAAGCTTACAAACGCATTAATATGTTCATCTCTTCTTGTTTTGAATTGTCCAGAATCCTATTGCGTCAAAATATGATGCAACGCTCCAAATTTTTGTACATTAGATCGTGTTGGATATTCATAATATGTAAAATACCATCCCCACATATCCAATGAAAATCAAAGGCAAAGTTGGGCATACCTTTCTCTCAGCAACCAACTTTAGCTTCTCCCAAAATGCACCTGCAAGTACACATCCAGATAAGTTCAAAAAATTTAACATTTACACTAGAAAACTGGTGGTATACACATAAAAACAACATCAT